TGATTTGAAAATAATTTCAAGAAAACATCGTAAACTGAAACAGGCGTTATAAAATGGGACGGAGGTAGTAGCATAGAATTATTTTTAAAATTTATAGAAATCGTAATCTATTATAAGTTGTCTATAATAAATTAATAATACCCTTTTTAAACAGTAGTTAGACTATTAAGCCTAGAACTATTTTTAAAGTTTTGAGAAACCGTAATGTATTACTAGTAGTGTGTGTCACACCATTTTTTTCACGGTTATCTATACACTACAAGAATGCATGTTGAAAAGAGACGGAATAGTCTCGTAATGGTCTCAAAAGTGAGACAGAATAGATACCAATTCATTTGTCCCATTTATTTCGTCTCTTTTCATTCGGGACGAAAATATTCCACCTCTTTTCATTGGAGACGGAAATGAGACAACTTTGAAAAGAAACAGAATTCAGTCTCTTATTTGTATAAAGTCGGTCAAGAATGTCACTTGGAATTATTTGTAATAGAGACCAAAATCTGTCTGAAAATGTAAATATTAAAAAAATAAAATTTCTATTTTTCTAGGATTAGTGACACAAACTTGTACGAAAGAGTTGATACAAGCTAGTTCATATCAATAATTAATGCTTTTTGAACGGGACATTTTTTACTTTATTTAAGAATAAAATAGCACAACGAAACAATGCCTTATACAACTTCAATATTGTAATACATGTCCACTATGATCTAAAACAAACCACAAAAACAATAAATCTATTATATATATAAAAGCACAATCACAAATTGCAATCCAATTAAGCCGCCACATTCCTTAGATCTACAATTTCATTCCATCAAAAAACAATCAAATCCTGGCCACACAACCCTATCTATGGTTCAATTTTAATTTTGTTTAGATTAGAGAAATCTAAGCCCTTGATTTTCACCCCAAATCTTTAAAAAAACCGTATATAATTTAAAAAAACGAAACTGCCCTTTCACGACTCTCTACGCGGCGGGAACATAGGGTCGCGCACGCCTCTATGCACTTCCAGTTTATCGGGCATGAAAAAAATCAAACTGCCAAATGATCCCCCCCACTTCTTTCACGATGCTTTCCATATATTTGTAAAGTCAGACCAGTTCTTTTCTCTTTATAATTGTCACTCTCCTGTAAACATGTCTCCGAATTGGGTCTCTCTCAACAGGCTTCACGCTGCTAGACATCGGGATCCTGTGAAACTTCGCCTCCTGCGTCATTATGATCTCAAGTTAAGAAAGAGTGTAGAAAACACAGCCTATGCCCACGAATCAATTTTTCAAGATGAGCATGTTCATATCGATTTCTTAATACATCATTAAACATAGCATTCACTTTCTAATTTTTTTACTGTAGGAAAATCGCATGCATGCTTTTTGGAAAAAGGCGTTGATATCATGCTTTAAGCCTTTACTGAAAGGACAAATACATGGAATAAAGAATCCCATTGTATCCAAAAATACTCAAAACTTGATTGATTATAATTACATATTATCATTGGTTAAGGACAGACCTATATCGGATGTCAATGATGAATCATTCCCCGAGATGGTGTTCAAGTTTGCTAATTTAGAAGTTCTCAACGATGCCACGGATATTCAATATTGTCATGTTTGGATTTCCTTAAAGAAAAACCACTTCATCCTGTAGTTATTTTGCAATTTTGCAAGGGAACAGTATTTCAAGGTATAACCTATTTAAAAATAAAAAAAAGTTACATCTAATACTAATGAAATTATATTTGTGCTTGTAGACATGAAACACGCTTCGACTGTTTTTGATGTTACCAAACTCATATTGGATCCAAATTACCCACCTATATTAGAGTTTGAAAAACAGTAAGCGTTATGAGTATACCTTATTGAATTATATTGTTTACTAAATTTAAAGCTAACACTAAATAAATGAAGTTGGTATAGGGTATTGGCAAGGGGAATCTCTACTCAAGAGGTGGTGAGCATGAGTGCATCTTCATCACGCACAGGCCCTCCAACATTTGATGTACACACTTAAGAAGAGATTATATTATTGAAAATTTTGAGGTATATACCTTACATTTTCAGTTTAAAGAACATATTGTCTCACTACATTACCACTTTAACAAATAGTAACCTATTCTATAAGAATATCTATTTAAGATTTTCTAATTAATTCATAATAAAATCATTTCTCATGTTTAAATACAGTTTTTTAAAAAATAAAAAAATCTCAATGTAGAATAAGGCCTCTTTAAAATGCTTTTACCATATATTTAGAGTAGATTCAATTAAACATGTTGACCAAACAAATTAATCTGTTTTTTTGTCTAAAATTGTTGATAAATTTACCTTTTGTTTTAAAAACTAATTAATCTGTTTCTATTCAAAGAAGAAAAGTTTGAACATGTCACTTTGAATATAATATTCTGTTCAAGAAGATAATTGTATGAATTAGAAAGATTACCTCACTAAACCATTTGCTACTGATACAGAAAATTGCACTCATATTCATGCCAGATCCCCTGAAACCTCAATTTTCACAGTTCGATAAGCCTGCACATTTAAAGAAATAAAATTATTATACTTAAAGTTGCTTTTATATTGAACTTGGTTACACACAAATAAGCACAAATAATGGAGCAGTGTGGACTTACCCAAGTCCTCGTCACTGCTACCTGACGGTCGTCGAAGGAAGTCGCCGGAATAGGTACAGCTCAAGTCCATCGTTGGAATAGTTGAGGTCATTCCCTGTCACCGCCGGTCGCGGCCTCTGTCATCGTAAATGCCAAATTGCCGGAATTTCGCCGATGTGGGTCTGCATCGCTGCATTTGATGAGGGTGGCCTGGGATTGCTGTCGCTGCTGCTCTCATCGCTGATTGGGGAGAATCGGAGAAGAGGGTTGTAGCAGCTAGGGATCCGAGAAGAGAGGGGCGGCGGAATTCTTTGATCGAGGAGAAAGAAAAAAGAGGCTAAATGTAAAAAAGGAAATTAGGAAGAGGGAGGTGAAATTGGGAAGAGGGAAAACAAATTTAGGAAGAGGGAAATGAAAAATTTTAGAGATTTAGGGCGTGTTTGGTGTGGTTTGATGGTGATATAAGATATGAATTTTAAAATCTAGGAGAAATAATGTAACACCCTAATCTGTTCATGTCTCAGTAAATCATTTCAAAGTTCATATCATAAATAAATTTTTTATTTATTCTTAATTTGGTTTTGTATGAGGTTCTCAATCAAGATTACATAAATAGTCAATATTCGGATTTATATTCTATGAGATTTATCGAGATTGTGATATTAGATATCAAAACATTTTTCATTTCGTCCTAAAGGCCAAAAATAAAATAAGAGAGATATAATCACAACAGATCTGATGAGAGATATATTTGATTAAATATAATCTAATTTAGTATGATTGTAGTTATATGTAGTTTTATTTTGGATTGAATATGATTGTAGTCATGCATTTAAAGATTATATCTGGCAAATAAAACACAGCCTTGACAAGTAAATTGATTTTTTTGAAGATTAGATCTGATCTTATTGGATTTGACTTTGATTTATTTCGATAAGATCTGTTTTTGTCCAATTTGACCTAATTAGTCCGGTTAGTTATATTAAAAACTCTTTTAATTTGATCTAGTCTAATATGATATGATGAGATCTGAATTCATTAGAACAACAAAAAATAAAAAAAAATTAGAACAACAAAAAATAAAAAAGTAAAAAAATAAAAAGTAAAAACAAATCTGATCACATATAATTTAGGATTTGATCACAACCTATATAATAATTTTGATCTGATCACATTGGATTTGAATTTGATTTGATTCAATTAGATCTATTTTAGTATGATTCGATCTAATTAGGTCTGATCTGATGCATTTAAAGATTATATGAGGCAAATAGGACACAACCTACACAAGTGAATAGATCTTCTTTGAAGATTTGATCTGATCTTATTGGATTTGATTTTGATTCGATCCGGTTACATCTATTTTGGTCTGATTTGATCTAATTAGATCTAATCTAATGCATTTAAAGATTTAGATCAAGTAAATAGGACACAACCTATATAAGTGAATATATTTCCTTGAAGTTTTGATATGATATTATTGGATTTGAGTTTGATTTGATCCGATTAGATCTGTTTTGTTCTTATTCGATCTAATTAAGTCCGATTTAATGCGTTTAAAGATTAGATCAGGCAAATAGGACACAACATATACAAGTGAATAGATTTTCTTTGAAGATTATATCTGATCTTATGGGATTTGAATTTGATTTGATTTAATTTGATTAGTTCTGTTTTGGTCTGATTCGATCTAATTAGGTCCGATCTGATGCATTTAAAGATTAGATCAGACAAATAGGACACAACCTATACAAGTAAATAAATTTTATTAATTTTTTTTTTTTGTATTTTTATTTATAATAAAAATTTGTAAATGAAATTATTTCAAAAGAAGAAATATTTTTGACATCGTATGAGAGTTAATCAACTCCTACGATGTAACGCCCTAGAAACCGGCCTAGAAGTTAATCAATAATTAAATAAATAAGAATTATCTATTTACGATAATCTATTCGTTTAAAGGATTGAAAGATACTTTAGAGATTCTAATCGTCTCAATAAAACGAGACTAATCAGATTGTATTTGTAAATATTTAAATTAAAAGACTAATCAGTGTTAATTAATCGAAAGAATCAAGACGAACCAGGTGGAACTTGTAAATTCCTGTTGATTTATTATAAAAATTATATCGTTGGGTAAGGATCGACTAATCGAATCCAACAACGCAAATAGATTTTAATTCGGAGCATGTTAGCCCGAAAAGTGTGCTTTACTCACACATATTATTTTAAATTACTGAGTAGAAAACCCTAGATACAAAAGGGAAATTCGTGTGTTTCCTTTTTCCTAGATCGAAGACAGCCCGCCGCCGCCTCTCTTCTTCTGTCTTCTTCTTCGAGCGGCGACGATAGCAATAATGCCTACAATAGCACCGGCCAGCGACACCACCAGACCGACGAGGGAAGGTCCTTCCGGCGAGACTTCCCCGACCTCCTTCTCCCCAATCGACAGCTGCCTCCCGACGGCAAGGAGCAATCGACAACGACGATGGCCAGTGAGAATAGCGACGAGGACACCCTGCGCAGTGATTCTCCTCCCCCGACGGATTACAGGGTAGCGGCGGGTTCCACCGTCAATTTCGCCCAAGCCCAAACAACGATGACCCAAATCTTCTCTGTTCCAGCCACAATTTACGACAGTGGGGCTGGGCACGTCTGGTTGGATTTCTTCTACAAATATTAAGATATTGTGGTATGTTTCAAATAACAAAAAATCCACCCAAATTACTTTAATCTCAACTTGTTATCAAAATTTGTGAGTCTATCCTGCTAGATTGCATATATTCAGTTTACTCCCAAAAACGCATCAATGTTGCACAAAGCCATTAGATATTTTCCAACATAACCCCCAAGGAATTCTGAAACTCACAGCTAAATGCCTACTGCTTGCAAGTTACAACCTTCTCAACTAATTCAACAGTACTTAATTCATATAAGTTGGTATTTAATTTGAATAAAAATAAAAATAAGAAACAACTATTAGATTCCCTTGTTTTCCGTCCTTGAGTAAGTAGACTTATAAACAACAAAAGATCTTTGAACATTGAACCAATAGAATGGGAAAAGGATGAAAAGGAATGTGTATGGTATGGTTTTTGAGTTTTTCATTGGATGAGTTTTTCTTTATGTGTAGGTTCTATTCAAATATTAGCTACTGCAACCTCCAAGTGATGGGGAATGACAATTCTGGAGCAAATTGTTTGAATTATTTGATATTTCCATGAGGTAAAATCTGTGTTTGGCTAAGGTTAACTTTAGTTTCAAGTAATACTATTATTCAAAGTGATATGTTTTAACTTTTTTTGTGAAAAAATTCAAGCAATTAAATATGGCATACTGACAAGCTTGTGAGAAAAAAAATCCTGTGTTGGAGAAGATGCACATCAAACTGAAATGGCTTCCGGTACAAGATGTGCATCGTCTACGCTCACTTTTCCATCAACGCCTCCATCATCAATGAAAACAAGTCAATTAAGTCAATTGAAATCTGAAACTTCCTTGGAGAAAAGAAGGTATTCCTCTTTTTTTGTTATGTGCGATTTTGATCGATGGGTTCTTCAATGTTTCCAGAACCCGAGGCTGAATTGGACAGAGATTGCTCACTTTTCACCAATCAATAGGTTTTGTTAAACCTAAAGTCTGAATTATGACTGATTAGGAAATAGTATATGCTTCTAAATCAAGATACTATAAGTTAACTGGACTTTTGGATTAAAAGAAGTGAAAAGTTGAAAACTTGAAGGTTGATGGTTATGGACATATATATTACCTACATATTATATAGTATGTTACAAAATGCCCACAAAGGGGACTCGAGACTAAGAACACCTACTAGTTAAGCATAGTTCGGAAAACCATCATCAAATTGAAGCATGACACTGTGTTTATATATTGATTTTTGAATTTTAAGTGTTGATTTCTAAGCTGAATTATGAACTTCAATTGTTAAATAGATGCATATGAACTACTTTGGAGGTATTTATCTAGCAAATAACTCCAAAAAGTTTCAAGTATTTTTGTTATGAACTCTTTTTTGTTATCAACAAACATTCATTTTAATTATTTATTGGTATGCAGATTGAGGACTAGAGTGGATGCGTTACAAGATAATGTTGCTAGAGCAAGGGATGTATTCAAAAATGTTATTGAGGGGACAAATAACTAAATTAGGCATGCTGAATGGACAACTAGAGTGTGATTTTAGTTATGTAAATATTAAATTATTGGATGTTATTTAGACTTGGATTGTGTGTATTTAGATATTATTCAATATATTCTACATTTTAGAATTTATTTTTGGTTCATGATCAGAATTTTGGAATTGAAATGAATTTTATTTATTAAATATAAATGTGAATTGAAATATAGTAGTCTTTCAAACAACTTTACAATGTATTAAAATAGCTTTCTTAATCTTTAAAGGACAACTACACAAACCTGTACTGTTAATAAACGTTAGACAATAGAAATAAACAGTTGTGTGAAATACAACAAATATAGTTGTTTACATTTTACAAACACAACACAGAATAGTAGTTGTCTTATGCAAACATACTTAGTTGTCTTCGGAGCCGTAGTTTGATTTACAATCTGACTACTGTGTAAAAAGATAGTTTGAATACTTCAAGGACAACTACAACAAAGCGTAGTGTTATTGAGCACTATACAAGTGAAAGAAACGGTTGTTTAAAATACAACAAAATTAGTAGTCTACATTTTAGAAATATAACACAAGATAACAGTTGTCTGATGCTATTTTTGTTTAGTAGTCTTCTAAGCAGCTGTCTGATATATCTTTCAACTACTTTTGAAATTAGATGTCTATATTGTTGAACGACAACACCACGCAATAGGAGTCTGAAGTCGAAAATAACAGTTATATTCATTATAGATAGACAACAAAACATCACAGGTGTCTTTAACTTTAGAAAATAGATGTCTTACTCATACGAGGACAACTTCAAAAACATGTACTCTTAAACATCACAAAACAGGTGTCGTCAACCGTATTACACAATTGTTTTTAAACAGTAGTCTGTAAATATATCAGACAGCTGCTCGGAAGACTACTAAAACTAGGACAATTAGACTACTAAAAAGAACAGTTGTCAACATCTGTTTTTGACGTAGTGCCATCACCTTCTCCAAGATCAAGCATCTCAAGACTACCATGGAGATTTGGCAAGGTCTTGGGAAGCTGTGTGAGGGATCGGAGGACCTGAGAAAGCAGAAGATAGAGGTCCTACTTGAGAAGTTGAAAAGCTTCAAAATGCTTCCCGGAGAATCATTTGATATGTTGGATGAAAGATTCCACAAAATCTTAAATGATCTTGCATCACTTAACCACATTCTTTCTCCCAAAGAAAAGAATGTAAGGTTACTGAGATCTCTTCCAACTGAGTGGTACACCAATGCCACAACCATGGAAGAAGGAAGAAACCTGGAGAACTACACTCTCCAAGGTCTCCTTGATGAGCTCAGAACCTATGAGCATGAGCTGATGAAGAAGAAGGAAGAACAAGTCACTCCCTTCCCCACGGCATTGTTGACAACTCCCAGAGTCCCACCAAGTGAAGGGACATGCCCAAGGAACTGTGACATACCTTCCTCCAGCTAGCCGCCAAGCTCAAAAATGGAGAACTATGATGAGGAATTTGCCATGATGGTCAAACAATTCCGGAACTTCAAAAAGTTTTTCAAGAAAGCCGACTCAGTCAAAAGGCCATCCAAGGGAAAGCCACAGGTAAGTGACTCCCCTCCTGAATCTTATTTGTGTTATAACGGCAGGAAACCTGGTCATTGGAAGTTAGCGTGCCCGTACCCAAAAGTGGAGAAGTACGAAGAAAGAAAAAAGTAACGAAAAGAAGAAGAAAGCAATGGTTGGAGCTGAAAGTGACGAGTCATCCAGCTCAAGCTCGGATGAAGAAGCTCTCGTCTGCATGGAGCGCAGAGTTTAGAAGTCCAACCATGAGGAGCGGTGGATTATGTCAGAAGATGACACCCTCTGCCTAATGGCCAAAGATGATGTTGATCAAGAGGTAACTTCACAAACCTCCTGTTCATCTTCTTATGAAAGCATACCAACTTCTGAAAGTCTTTTTGACAAGTTCAAAATGATGATGGAAGATTTTGAGAAAATAAATCTCAAACACTCATCCTTAACAGAGGAGAACAAGCTATTGAGTGAAGAGAATCTCAAGTTGACTAAAGGTCGGAAAAGTCAACCTGATGAGATCACTCAACTCAAGACTGAAAATGAATCTCTCTCTGAAAAGTTGAAATCCCTCAACAAGGAGCTAGGGATACTTAAGTCCAAAAGGAAAGGGAGAACAACCTTCATCCCTCCTAAACCTACTGCCAAACACAATAAGCAGAAAGGGAAGGAGAAAGAGAAATCCAGAGAAGTTCCCAAAAAGGTAGTCCCTCCTAAGAACTATAGGAAGCTGGACAGACCTCAAAAAGGAAATAATTTCAGAAGAAAACCTTCTAACCCCCAATATACACGAGACTATACTCATTATGGGGTAGATAGGAGTTTTCCAAGAAATTCTGAGTGGAGAACAATGCCAAGATATAGTCATCCTGCACCCCAGAAACTATTTGTTCCACCTAAGTATGCTTACAACCAACACAGGCCACACTATGCACAACCTAGACAAAACTATAGGTCTTATCAACCTAGGATTGCTAGGAGGAAACAGGAAATTGCACCACCTGCTCGTAGGAAATTTTATGCCTACAATTATGATTACAATCCCAACAAGTTTAGGGCTGCAAGGAAAATTTTCTGCAACTTCAAACTTGATGTAGGGACACACACCATTAACTATTCCGGAACCAAACTGAATTGGGTACAAAAATCTTCCTCCTCCTAATGCAGGAAGCCGTTAAGTTCCCAGGTGTCTGGTACTTAGACAGTGGCTGTTCAAGACACATGACGGGTGATGCGAGTCTTTTGAGCAATCTAATCCCTATGATGGTCCAAGAGTTACTTTTGGAGGAAGCAATGATTTTGGCCTTACTAAAGGGCTAGGAAATCTGGGGTACCTTATGTGGAAGGTCTCAATTATAACCTTCTTAGCATAAGTCAGTTTTTTGATAAAGGTTACTCCTTGGAATTCTGCAAAGACATGGCATCCCTCAACAACATCTCCACAAATGAAGTCATTCTCACTGGGAAGAGAATCAGAAACATCTATGAAGTAATGTGGGATGATGTCAAGGAAGCTTGCCTAATCAGCAAAAGTGACACTAACCTTCTATGGCTTTGGCATAAGAGGTTGAGTCATCTCAACTTCAAAACTCTCAACAAGCTATCCAAAGAAGGGTTAGTAGAAGGTCTTCCCAAAGCTGTATTCAAGAAGGAAAGCACTTGTGATGCTTGCTAGAAAGGAAAGCAAGTCAAGTCTACTTTCAAGGCAAAACCGGCACCCTCAACTACAAAGATACTAAGTCTTGTTCACATGGATTTATTTGGACCTGTTACACCAATAAGTCTAAGTGGAAAGAAATATGTCCTGGTTGTAGTTGATGATTACTCAAGATACACGTGGACAATCTTCTTCAACAGCAAGAAGGAAACTCAAGGGAAGCTCACAAATTGCATGAAGCTGATTCAAAACCAAGCAAGTCAGACCATCCAGAAGATCAGATCTGACAAAGGCACAGAATTCCTGAATGAAATCATCATTCATTACTGTGAAGAAAATGGAATTCTTCTATCAGACATCAGCAGCAAGGACGCCTCAACAGAATGGTGTAGCTGAAAGAAGAAACAGAACCTTGAAGGATGTAGTAAGAACTATGCTAGCCAAAGCTTTCTTGCCAAAGAGGTTCTGGGCTGAAGCTGTAAACACAGCTTGCTATACTCAAAATAGGAGTATGATTTATAAAAGGCACAACAAAACTCCCTATGAACTGTGGAATGGTTAAAAGCCTAATATATCATATTTCCATATTTTTGGGAGCAAGTGTTTTGTGTTAAACAATGGGAAGAATCATCTGAAAACTTTTGACGAGAAATCAGATGAGGCCATCTTCCTAGGATTTTCCATGGTGAGCAAAGCGTTCAAAGTCTTCAACAAAAGAACCATGATCACTGAAGAGTCAATACATGTTATTTTTTATGAAAAAACATGTGGTTGACAAACCATCAAAACATGATCATGAGGTTCTGGATCTCTCTCAGACAAGGATGAAAAAGTAAATGAAGGAGATAGAATGAAGCCTACGGAGTTCATTCCATTCAGAAGTCTACCACAGAATACTTCACAAAGAAATCCGGATTCAGACAGTGCTGAGCCTACCGGAAATGATGGCCAGCCTTCCATTATTCCGGATAATTCAAAGGGCGACAATTCCGGAAATGGAGACCTAGTGCCAATCCATCCGGAATCACCAACAAACTCTGTTTTTCAACCAGAAGCTGAACTAGATCAACGAGTCAACCCTAATCAACGCAACCTTTGAAAAGTTTTAAATTTTTACGATTACCAAGTTAAATACTTTAGTCCGAATGGGGCTGCAGACCTAGACGGATTAGGGTGTTACAAATATGGGACGATGTCAAGGAAGCATGTCTAATCAGCAAAGGTGGCACTAACCTTCTATGGCTTTGGCATAAGAGGTTGAGTTATCTCAATTTCAAAACCCTCAACAAGCTATCCAAAGAAGGGTTTGTAGAAGGACTTTCCAAAGCTGTGTTCAGAAAGGAAAGCATTTGTGATGCCTGTCAGAAAGGAAAGCAAGTCAAGTCTACTTTCAAGGCAAAACCGCCACCCTCAACTACCAGGATACTAAACCTTATTCACATGGACTTATTTGGCCCTGTTACACTAATAAGTCTAAGTGGAAAGAAATATGTCCTGGTAGTAGTTGATGATTATTGAAGATACACGTGGACAATCTTCCTCAACAGCAAGAAGGAAACACAAGGGAAGCTCACAAACTGCATGAAGCTGATTCAAAATCAAGCAAGTCAGACCATCCAGAAGATCAGATCTGAAAAAGGCACGGAATTCCTGAATGAAATCATCATTCATTACTGTGAACAAAACGGAATTCTTCATCAGACGTCCGCTGCAAGAACACCTCAACAGAATGGTGTAGCTGAAAGGAGGAACAGAACCTTGAAGGAAGCAGTAAGAACAATGCTAGCCGAAGCTTTCTTACCAAAGAGGTTCTAGGCTGAAGCTGTAAACACACCCTGCTATACTCAAAATAGGAGTATGATTTATAAAAGGCACAACAAAACTCCCTATGAACTATGGAATGAGAGAAAGCCTAATATATCATATTTCCATATTTTTGGGAGAAAGTGTTTTGTGTTGAACAACAGGAAAAATCATCTGAACACTTTTGATGAGAAATCAGATGAAGCCATCTTCCTTGGATATTCTATGGTGAGCAAGGCATTCAGAGTCTTCAACAAAAGGACCATGATCACTAAATAATCAATACATGTTATTTTTGATGAAAAACATGTTGTTGACAAGCCATCAAAGCATGATCATGAGGTTCTGGATCTTTCAGACAAGGATGAAGAGATCAATGAAGGAGATAGAATGAAGCCTACGGAGTTCATTCCATTCGGAAGTCTACCACTGCAGACTTCACAAAGAAATCCGGATTCAAATAGTGCTGAGCCTACCGGAAAGCATAGCCAGCATTCCAATATACCGAATAACTCAAATGGCGACAATTCCGGAAATGGCAACCTAGTGCCAATCCATCCAGAATAACCAACAAATTCTGTTCTTGAACCAGAAGCTGAACTAGATCAACCAGTCAACCCTAATCAACACAATCTTTGTTGGTTAAGGGATCATCCTCCTCAACAAGTTATTAGAAATATTCAGTCAGGCGTTCGCACAAGGAGTGCTCAACTGAATCTAGAAGCCATGCTTGCTTGTTTCATCTCACAAGTGGAACCAAAAGAATATTGAAGAAGCTCTAGTTGATTCTGATTGGATCAATGCAATGCAAGAAGAACTCAACCAATTTACCAGAAATGACGTCTGGAAACTTGTTCCTAGACCTACTCATCAACATGTCATTGGGACAAGGTGGGTCTTCCAGAACAAGATGGATGAAAACGGCGTTGTTGTCAGAAATAAAGCCCGGTTGGTTGCAAAAGGTTATTGTCAAGAAGAAGGTATAGATTTTGATGAAACCTTCGCTCCAGTTGCTAGACTTGAAGCAATAAGGCTATTCCTAGCCTTTGCTGCTCATAAGGACTTCAAAGTCTATCAAATGGATGTCAAAAGCACATTTTCAACGAAAATCTAGAGGAAGAAGTTTATGTGGAACAACCTCTAGGATTTGAGTTACACACTAAAGGCGATCAAGTGTACAGACTCAAAAAGGCGCTATATGGACTTAAACAAGCACTAAGAGCTTGGTATGATACATTGTCTCAATTTCTCATAGACAATGGATTCATAAAAGGAGTCATTGACAAGACCTTGTTCAAACTTCAAGATGGAGAAGATCTCTTATTGGTCTAAATCTATGTGGACGACATCATATTTGGCTCTACTAAGGAAGCTCTTTGCACCATGTTCTCCACCCTCATGCAAGGAAAATTTGAGATGAGCATGATGGGGAAACTCAACTACTTCCTTGGTCTTCAAATCAAGCAAAGAAATGAAGGAACTCTCATCAACCAAGCCAAGTACACAAGGGATCTTATCAAGAAATTCAAAGTTGATCAGAAGTCATCCGTTTCTGTCCCCATGAGTACATGCACCAAGCTTGATATGGATGTAGATGGAAAGGATGTTGATCAAACTCTCTACAGAGGAATAGTTGGATCTCTACTCTACCTTACTCAGATTCTGACTTTGCCGGATGCAAAGTTGACCGAAAAAGTACGACTGGTACTTGTCAATTCATTGGAGGAAATCTTGTTTCTTGGTTCAGTAAGAAACAAAACTCCATCTCTACATCAACAACAGAAGCAGAGTACATTGCTGCTGGTAGCTGTTGTGCTCAAATCTTGTGGCTAAAGCAACAACTGCTGGATTATGGAGTCAAAACAAAGGAAGTGACAATCTTCTATGACAATCAAAGTGCTATAGCCATCTCACAAAATCCAGTGCATCATTCTCGCACTAAGCACATTGATTTCAAGCATCACTTCATCAGAGATCATGTGGAAAAGAAAGATATCAAAATTGAGTATATCTCAACTGAAGAACAATTGGCGGATATCTTCACAAAACCACTAAGTGAAGCCAAGTTTTCCGATTTGCTTCACAAAATTGGTCTAATTCAATTAGACTGAGTACACGTGGCAGTCCACTTTCCACGTCTGTCAAAATAATGGGTAGGCACGTGGTCTTGGGAACAGTAAAAAACCCAATCGCCACTAGCCGCATAAATCGCCCAAATTAAACCCAATCGCCACTATAATCAGATCTCAACTGCCCACTCAAATTTTCGTCGTCTTCTTCGTGAGAACTCTCTAATAGAATTCTCAAGGACCCTAATTTCTTCAGATTTTCTTACTCAAATTTCTGAGAAAATGAAGATTGTTGGCGCTAATGTCCATTTCCAGAAATTGGAAGCGAAATGCTCTTCACAAACATTCTACCAATCCTATCTGGAGATGATTGCTGCTCAAGAACTCTCCGGATTCCTTCATATGGAGATTCGATTCAAGTATGAGAACAAAGTTCTTGAATTCTACAAGAACGGAAAGGTCAAGACTGTCCAATCGAAGAAGAGTCCACAGAGAACGATTCAAATTATCAAGTCCACTGTTGGAGGGGCTAAAGTGAAAATTTCGCAGAAGAAATTGAAGGAGAAACTTCATCTTCCCAATACTGGAAGTGAAATTGGGAGACTTCCGACCAAGAATCTGGATTGGAAGACTATTGGGATTTCTGGGCAAATCCCCTCTGGCCCAACGAAGAAATCAGATTTGAAGAATGATTACAAGTTAGTCCTGGAACTGGTCATCGCATGCTTTGAATGTGGTAGTGGAGGACATGCTAATGACATCACTCAAGAAAGTGCCTTCATCATCAACGCCCTCATTACCAAATCTAAGGTAAATTGGGCTAACCACTTCTTCAATTCCATCTTAAAGCACTTAGGGAAGCCCAAATAGAAGTATCTGTGTCAAGGTTTGTACCTTGGGTACATTTTGGAGACCATGGGGGTTGCCTCAGAAGGAAAGAAATATGGAGCCAGATATTGGCTTTACTACCTGGCTTCCAAAGTAGAAAACAAAGTCAGTTCAATCGTAGAAGAAAGTTCTTCAGATAACGTCCTTATCATGAGTCTGAAGAAGTCATCAAAAGGGAAACATGTGGTGTCTCCCTCTCCCAGAAATCAAGCACCACACACCCTTGCAATGGTCAATCTTGAAGAAGAAGTTGCTTCCCAAAGAGAACCTCAGATGAAGAAGAAAAGAAAAATCTCATCTCCCTCAACATCTGAAAATGCAGATCCGGATGAGTTGATGGGAAAAGAACCAGTTGAAGAACACTCTGCACTCAACCAGAGCCCTCAACAATTAAATGAAGAGATTCCTCAAGTTCAGAGTTCTGTAACTCCTTCACTACAGGCTCAAACTGATGATGCAAAGAGCCAATTCATGCAGCTCTATTATGACTAGAGAGCTTGGAAGGTTGGAAACTCAGCAGAGCAGTTGTTGAGATGGGACCAACAACTAAAAAATGAGAAGATCATCAAGAAATGCCTGGGTCTGCCAGTCAACTATTGCTGTGAGCAAATTCTGGATGTTGACTGGGTGTGGCAAAGAAACTATGAGGATTTACATCTAGAACACTTGGCAACCTCACCAATCTCTGAATTTGAAGCTGATGATGAGGATCCTTCAGTCTACAAGCCAATCTTTTCAAAGGAAACAGAAGATCAGATGACTCTCACCATTGAAGCACAGGTTAACATGGAAGCCATAGCGGAGGACTTCCAAGTCTTTCTAGAAAACTTCCTTGCCTTTGAAACTGTTCTGCCTGAAGCTGTCCGGGAGAATGCAGCTTCTCCCCAACAAGAACAGTCTCAAACAACATCAGAGGAAGAACTTCTTCAACTCCTCCAATCTCACGTTCAAGAGATTCTCACAACTCCTTGTGAGATCTCCAATCAACCTGAACTTGAGATTCCGGAGAAGTCAGAAGAAAATCTGGAGAAGTCCACTCCTCCAGAAACAAATGAAGTCCAAGAAGATCAAGTTGTAGAAGTCCAAAGGAGTTCTGCAGAAGCTGAAAAGGAAGCTCAAATGGGTGGACTGGAGACCTCTGAAACTCCAGATGCTATCTTTGAGCAAAACATTGGAGAAGAAGAAAGAGATTCCCTCTCTAGGGATATCTCAAACTTTGTGCTTAATGAGACAGAAGAAGAGTCTGAGAAAACCCTGAAGATTGATGATGAACAAGCTGAGCAAGGAGATGTTGAATCCCTCCCCCTGCAACTCTTCCACAGAGCACCATCTTCTCATCAGGTAACTAACTTGCACTTTCACAGTTCTTCCACATCCACTCTTCCGGATGAGGTACTGGAAAACTGGACAAGAAAGGTCCAAGGGTTGATTGAATCATCCCTAGCGTCTTAGCATGCCTCTTTTAGGTAAGAGATAGAACAGATGGAAGCTAGGCATAACAAGCTAATGGAGAAATCCGAAGAAAAACATTGCTCGGATCTCAAGGAGATAAGCAAATCAGTGGACAAGACTCTAGAGATTATTTCTCTTTTGAGTAACTCTGTGAGCAACACAATGGAGGCTTATGCATCTGATTGTCATCTTCAACTCAAAGAAGTTAATAAAATCAGAAGGCAAATAGCAACTGTCACAGTCAGCCTTTAGAAGCAGATGGCATTCCTTCATATGGATATCGGATCAGCATTGGGAGTGTCTTCAGCAAATCAGGTAGTAATCCAAGACTACTTGAAGGTTATTGCTGAAAATCAGAAGGAAGCATTCAGGCTGTTCAGGCACTTTGGAACCTACACTCGCAATCGCAAGATAGATGTAATTGTCCAACACAATAGTCCATCCCTAATTCCACAACTGCCTATTGAAGTCAAGAAAGGAGAGCTCACTTACATTCCATCCCATCTGAACATGACGGAACTGATACTGGAAGCCCAGCAGAGCAATCCGGAGAACTCAACTCAACATCTAACAGACTCTAGCCTTGATGGATCAGAAGTTGTTGGAACCATTGCCTCCCACTTCTCATATGATGCACAAACAAAGGAGAGATACAACAATCTCAGGCACATCAAAGAACAGTGTGGAATTATACAAGGCATTGGTGAGACTGCCGAATCATCAAAGCGCATGAAGCAGTGAAGGCTCTTTTCATCAAACCAGGGGGAAGTATATGAAAACATTATTTGGTTTTGATGAAAACACCTTCTTGTTTAAACATGAGTTTTGGTTTAAACATTGCTTAATAGTTCTCTTAATTATGCTTATTTTGCTTGATCATATTCATTTTAAGTGTGATTCTTGAAATTTATCTTTAAGCGCATACATTCAGGGGGAATGTAATTCAGGGGGAACTTAACTGTTTTTGGCTAACAATTGCTTCAATTGTTTTTGGCAATGAACTATTGATAAACTCTAAGCAATGGAAGTCGGATACCTCAGTTTAAGTACTAAAGTTGGAGATCTCCGATTCAGGTACTTTACAAAATCTGCTTTCTTAAACTGAGCTTTAATCCTTAGTTCATTTCCAACTTTGCTCTTGAGTAACGGTCCTTAGGATTTTTATAATGTACAGGACTTTGGAAAAATAGTACCACTTTTCTTTTAAAAGTGAATTTCATATTTTTTTTTGGTACTACCTCGTCCTAATTAGTAATTAGAACTATAGGGAATGAAAAATGATAGTTTTTTTGGGCCATGAGAACCCAATATGAATAATTTCCCTTTAGTGCATAGATTTTTTTGGGCCACTCTTTTGGGCTTAGCCAAACCAAAACAGTTACGTTTTTCAAACCAAACGAAACTGATTGTTTCTATTTGGAACAATTTCAACATCTTGGTAACTGCTAAAAGATTCTTTCAACTTTTCAGAATTCAACTTCTTGGAAGTTGAAACTCTTTTACTCTCACCGTTCCAACTACCCACTTAATGGAACCCGTGAACCTCCCCTCTCTCTATCTCTTCTCCTATTTAAACCAAGACATTCCAATCCATTCCTACCACAAACAACTCTCTCAATATGAAAAGTCTTCAAACTCACTGTCTGAGAAAAACACCAAGAAAAATATCCTCAATGGAGAAATTTTTCTTTCTCACCCTCACAGACGGCAATGGAGAAAGCCTAATGAGAAGAAAAGACTTTCAAGGTCTATGGTGAGAATCTCGGCAGTAGAGAAGGTCTGCGGTGAAAATCTCATATTTTTCAGGATTACACCAAACACCTTCTCTGGAAACAACACTCTCTCCATTTTTGTTTCTTCTAATTCTTTTTAAAAAAAATTCTTTCTTTTCTTTTATTTATGCAACCTCTGCACCCTTTTCCCAAGCATTTTTCAAAATTTTTTTTGTGCAGTCTCTGCTCTCTTTTTGTAAACATTTTTTTCAAAATTACTTTTTCAAAATTTTTCTTTCTTTTCACCATCTTTAGAGATAACGTAATTGTATTGATTGTTTTGTGGTCCACAAAGAGAGGTTCAGTATAATGTTCAAGTCAAGGTAGTTTTACTATTGTGATTGAGTCACGTATTCCACAAGGTATAGTTTTCAAAGATCGGTATCATAAAACATCTTTTTGTTTAATGAAGAATTATTTTGATACAAAGATAGGAATTCAATCTTTTCAAGATTCATCAAGCGGGATGTTTCAAGGGTGTAGTTAACACGTCAAGTTTGAGTAATTCAAGGATGTGAGTCACAAGATACAAGGATAGTGTTTGCGACTTATCGTTGTTAATCGTAGATTTTCTTTATTCAATGTTTCACTCTTTGGAAGTTACTCAAGGAGTCATTGTCCAAGGAAATAGTCGTTTTGACTTTTCGTCTCAGATTTGATCGTATTTCAGGACAGCGAATCTAACTATTCATTGGTCTCAATATGTCATATCGTCAGCAGACTATAACATTAGCGAGTACGTTCTCGTATGCAGGTAATTTGAATCCATTTTACTGTACGTATTTTGGCTGGTGATAATTACTTTTCCATCAATGGTCAGGTTCTAGAGACTATATATATCACGATTATGGGAAGAGTATCTCACATTCTCACATTATGGAAGGAACTTCTCGAACACTTCCTTACACCATAAGATTCGTTGGTCTTCTTGGCAGTCATTCTCTTGGTAGAAATCCAAAGTTTATGGCTACTGCAGTAGATTTAGGAAGAGAATTGATA